GAGGATGAGCAGAAGGGTTCAGGTGCTTCTGTCAGATCGTATTTCCAGCTGCAGGATAATTTTAGGGTTTTTTTTAGGGATGTAAAAGGTTTGGAAAACAACGTCCATTTTGAACAATCTGGTCTCAAAGTTTCATTTCATTTTTATTTTCCTGAACATCATTAAAACCTTTTGAACCTGCAGATCAGAGGCCTTCCTCCTGCAGGGTCTCCCTCATCTTGCTGAGATGTTCCTCCTCACTGCGTGTCCGTTCCTCTCTGTCGGACAGCAGGAGATGATCTGTTTGCTTCCTCTGAATGTGCGACCCGCTGCTGCTGAACCTGAGCAGACACCTGACGGCCTGCTGGCACACGTTGAAGGAGAACATCAGAGAGCCGTGAGCATCTGTAGGGATATTAGCAGCAGATTAAATGAGTCTAATGCTGATTAATCTTAAATCAGCCTCAGAGTTTCCAGATCTGAGGACTGAAGCGTTTCCTGCGTGTTTACACGGACTCAGCCACATCAGAGCGCCATCACAAAGGAAGCGGGCAGCTTTGAAGGAGCTGCAGTGTGTTCAGGTTTCAAAGCGGGAGGTGGGGGTGGGAGGATGATCCTGCAGGTTGGCTGCTCGCCCTCAGGGGGGAGTGTGTAACAGGGAGGCAGGAGTTTCTAGATCTCCAAATGATGAATAATACTCCTCGTTAGCTGCCAATCGGATTGATTTGTTCTTACAGCAAATATTAGCTTAATCTGCTGCTGCGTATCGATGCTCCCTTTGTGCCTCAGAAACTCTCCTCTGTGACCTCAGAGGGCCCATATGACCCAGAGCAGCCTGAACTTCCCCTAAACACCAGAGCTAACTAAGCTAACGGCTGGTAGCTCTGACCCTCAGCTGATGGAGGATTTCATTTCTGAAAGTTTCCTAACCTGAGCCAGTGGTTCAATAAAAAGATTGAAGAGGCTTAATGGGCACAGATACAGCTGGTATCATCTGACCTTCATCTTCACCTCTTGGAGCTGTTTTTGTTTTGTTGGTAAGAAGGATGGTTCCCTGAGACCCTGTATAGATTATAGAGGTCTGAACCAGATCACAGTAAAGAACAAATACCCTTTGCCCCTTTTATCCTCCGCTTTTGAGCCTGTCCAAGGAGCTACAGTTTTTACCAGATTGGATCTCAGAAATGCCTATCATCTTCTTCGTATAAGGGAGGGAGACGAATGGAAAACGCCTTTAAAACCCCCATTGGACACTTTGAATACCTAGTCATGCCTTTTGGTTTAACTAACGCACCTGCTTGTTTCCAAGCCTTAGTTCAAAGATGTCCTGAGAGACTTTCTGAATATTTTAGTTTTTGTTTATATTGATAAAATTCTCATTTTCTCTAAGAACCTGTCAGAGCACAGGATTCATGTCTGCCAAGTACTTCAGCGCCTTCTGGAGAACAAGCTCGTTAAGGCCGAGAAATGTGAGTTCCACAAACCATCAGTCTCCTTTCTGGGTTTCATCCTTGAGGGCTTGCAAACTTTTATCGTCGTTTTATTCGGAACTACAGCCAGACAGCTCTACCCCTAACATCACTCACTTCTACCAAGACCCCCTTTGTCTGCTCCTCTTAGGTTGAGGCTGCTTTCAATCATCTTAAGGACCTTTTTGCAAATGCTCAAGTGCTTATTCAGCCTGATCTCACAAATCAGTTTATTGTGGAAGTTGACATCTTCGATTCAGGAGTTGGAGTCGTCCTCTCCCAGATCTCTGACTCTCACACCCATGTGCCTTCTAATCTCGCAGATTATCCCCCGCGGAGAGAATTTATGATGTTGGAGACCGAGAGCTATTAGCCATTAAGCTTGCACTCGAGGAATGGAGACACTGGCTAGAGGGAGCAGCTCAAACAGTCATGGTATGGACAGATCACAAAAATCTCTCCTACATTCAGTCCGCTAAGAAACTAAACCCTTGTCAATCCCATTGGTCTCTGTTTTTCTCCCGGTTTAACCTCTCAAAATCCTACCATCCTGGATCTTGTAACATTAAACCTGATGCTCTCTCCAGACAGTTCGCCCCTGATGACTCTTAGAAGTCTCCTGCACCTATTCTCCCTCCTAGCTGCTCTGTTGCCGCTGTCACATGGGAGATTGAGGACCTTGTGAATCAGGCTCAGCAGTCTGAACCTAACACTGGGACTGGTCCACCCCACAGAATTTTTGTCCCTTCCATGATTCCTGCATGGGTCATAAACTCCATACCTGCAAGTTTTCGGCTCATCCAGGTGTCAGTCGGACTGTGGCTCTCATTGATCAATGTTTTTGGTGGCCCTCCTTACAGAAGGATGTCAAGTAGTTCGTGTTAGCCTGCCCGACCTGCGCTCGGAACAAGTCCTCTCATCAGCCTCCTGCCAGATTGCTACAAGGTTTACCCATACCCAAGAGACCCTGGTCTCATATTGCCATAGACTTCATCACTGGACTACCCACCTCCAAAGGTATGACCACCATACTCACAATTATCAACCATTTCTGTAAGGCCTACTATCTTGTTTCGCTGAGAAAACTACCCACAGCTCTTCAAACAGCCCAACTCCTGGTCAAGCACGTTTTCCGCCTTCATGGGATTCCCCAAGACATCCTCTCGGACAGTGGTCCCCAGTTCATCTCTCAGGTTTGGAAGAGTTTTTGTTTGGCCCTCGGGACCAAAATCTCACTCACTTCTGGCTATCATCCTCAGTCAAATGGTCAAGTTGAACGTATGAACCAGGAGTGTGAGGCCAGTCTTTAGATGCCTGTCAGCAACGAACCCCACCGATTGGAGCCAGTTTCTCCCCTGGGTTGAGTATGCCCACAACACCCATGTCTCATCTGCCACCGGACTCTGCCCTTTTGAGGTATCTCTCGGGTATCAGCCTCCCCTTTTTCTGGCCGAGGAGGCTGACATCGCTGTTCCCTCAGTTCAGCACCACATTCCGCCACTGAAGAGCTTTCTGGAACAGGACCGCAGCGGCTCTCGGACGGACTGCAGAACTGAACCGTAGGTGGGCTGACCACAGGAGGAGGGTCGCCCCTACTCTCACCCCGGGCCAAAGGGTTTGGTTCTCGACTCGGGACATTCCCCTTAAGGCCATGACCAGGAAGATGTTTCCACGCTTCATCGGTCCTTATGAGGTGGAGAGGACCATCGGCCCTTCCGCTGTCCCCCTTTGCCTCCCCTCCACTCTCAGGATCCACCATGACAGTTTCTCCGTGTTTCATAATGTCTCTCTGTCTTCAATAATGTCTGTCTGTCTTTAATAATGTCTCTCTGTGTTCCATCATAAAGTGATCAGATGAGCAACTTGTCTCCAGGTCTCTGCAGAACCTGATCACCTGAAGAAGAAGGAATCCAGCCTTTGTTTCAGGTGTGTTGGATCCATCTTAAATTCTCAGGGCATTTCTCTTTAAACTAGCTTGAGTGTTTTTATCTTATGGAACGATGGTTCTGAAACTCTACCTCTCCTGCTTTTTTCAGGTGATCACTGGATCCACACAGCTGACCTTGGCGAAAGGTTATAATGTGAATCACAACTGAGTCACATCTAAAGCATGAAGGGGAGCAGGCCTGAGGATCAGGGCTGAGAAGCATTGGAATAGAAAGTTTTGCTGTCTCAGAGCTACTGCTGCCATGAAATCATCATTTCCTAATCAGCTCTCCGGTTGGTCACAGCAAATGTTCTCCCCTCACTCATGTTTGGTTTTAGGTTCTTTTTTTCCTGGAGATGTCTTCATGTTGAGGGGGAGCCATTGCTGTATACTATCGCCTCGTGCTTGCTTGGCTTCCTTAGAAAGTGGAAACTTCTGACCATTCAGCATTTTCTGATCGTCTGTTTATAGATTAGCACCAGCAGTGAGGGAGGCCGTTTTAATATCCTGAACTACAGTTAAGCCCAAACGTGTTCAAAGACTTGACAAATTTAAAATGTAAAAGATTAGCTATTTTCAGCAAACAAATTCATAAACAAAAACTACAGGTTAAAAACTTTTTCATCTCCTTTTCAATCATTTAAGGAATTAAACCCTCCTGATCACTGAGAGGGCGGAAGGCCTCCTAACCATCACCCTAAGCAGTAGCTCCCTCCACAGATCCTCCACCAGGCCCAGTTCTGGACCCTGGATGAACCATTCCAGAAAATCCTCCCATCCAGTTGGAAGAACCGTCTTATTTATGTTAAGAGATCCTCTAAACCTAAATTTGCCAGGGTGTGAATACTTTATTGCACTGCTGGACTGTTTATGATTATATGAATGAAATGTGCTCTGAGATATTAGTTTTGAACGGAAGTGGACCCGCAGCGGAGTGGACCCTCCCTGGGTGAAGCAGATCTGAGGCTGATAGCAGCTTTTCATCCTCCTCCTGTTTAGCTTTGAGGAAGAAACGAAGCGACAGGAAATGAAAGGTCAGATAGGAAGCATGAATGTAGTGAGACGTGGCTCAGATCCGCTGCAGCAGACGGGCTCCAGACGGGCTGGATGCAGGTAAACACATGGCTGTAGATCAGAGAACTGTCTAAGGGACGGTTTAACATCTGAGCATTTAGGCTTTACTCTGAAAAGAGAAGCCAGATCAACTCTGTTAAACCTCTAGGATGGTTTTTCAGTTTTCCCGATAATTAACAAGGTCTACCAGTCAGGGAATATTACCGGTGTAAAATTAAAAGCATCCATGTCAACTGTTTACGATAAACTAGAACTGAGGGGCCACACCCGCCGTTTCTCAACAAAGCTTTTGATTTTTTTGTTTTGTGGGAAGTTTTTCTCCCTCTGCTTCATGACGAGTTAAATAATGTCAAAACCAGATCCTTTATTAATAAAAGATTAGTGTAGACCAGAAACAGCAGAAACATTGAGCAGGTTCTGACTCATCATGGTGCTGTGATGTCATCAGACGGCTCCAGAAGAAGATCACATTAAGAACACGTCACAGCAACATCAGAGAAGACAGTAAACATGAAGCCTGTTGATGTTTCCTGTTAGTTTGGACAAAGTGAACACAGACGGACCAGAACCATTGAAGGGTTCGCATGAACAGAACCTGCCGGTTCCATCAGCAGCTTCAAACTACGTCCATGTTTTTCTGAAAACCTCCCATGTTTCAGACAATGAGGACAGGAAGTGGAAAGGAGAAATCAAAGCGGGTCTTTAGACGACATCACAGCGCAGACACCTTCACTCCTCCGTCTCTTCCTCTTCACTGTAGTCGCTCAGGGGAAACTCACGGCTGTCTTTGTTTGTGTTGTAGCTCTTCCTGTGCATCATGCACTCCTGGTCAATGATCGCCTGAAACACAGTACATTGGATTTAGATGTGATGTTAAGTTATAAATAATCCAAGAATCCCTGAGGAACACCTTTAGGGTCAAAGGTTCTCCAGGGCAGAGGAGATACTACAGCATTTTGCCAAACAGACTTCTAGACCGCCCTGGGGTCTCCCTCTGGACTTTACAGGAGACCTCCACAGAGAGCTGTACATGAAGAAGCTCTTCATTCTGCAGGGCAGCAAATGTTTCACCAAACCTTGGAGTGAGATTGTGCTCCTCTTTTTTCCAAATTACAGCTGTTGAATATTTTTGAAATTAATATTTATCAAACATGTACCTTTATTTTTATGATAAAACAAGGTCAGTCTCCTGATACTTTCAAGAAATATTTTGTTAAGAACTGCCAAGTGCATTCTTATAATACTAGACAAGCTTTGTCTTTTCATTTACCGTTAAGTATTAAAACTCAAGTGCAATTTTCTTTTCGGCATCGTGGTGCAAAATTATGGAATGAATATGGAAAATATTTGGAATCTTCAGAAATAAATGGTAGAAAGTCTTTGAAAAAAATACTGTTATCCAAAAAAGACAGTGATGTATGATTTTACAAAAATTTGACCCCCTGAAATCTGAATGCTAAAATGTAAAAATAATGTTACTGTACATGTCTATTCTGTTTTCTCTGAAAGGACTTTCATAATGTGAGCTGCCTGATATTTTGTTGGTTTACGGGTGTGGCCTTGGTATAAGCCCTAAAGGGTTTCTGTCACACTCCATCACATTTTTTATTTTTTTATTTTATTCTATTGGTGTATTCTGAGTTTTTATTTTGATCTGTGAAAATAAATAAATAAAAAAATAAAAAAATAGTTTGGACCCTTGTCAGAGTCAGATAAGAACAGGTGCAGCTAGGTTGGACATTTTTGTGAATAATAATAGGTGGGCTGGCGTAAAAATAGGGACTGGATCTGAACCTGGCATGTCTATGTGTGTTAGCACTAAGGTGGTGTTGAAAACACGGACTGGATTTTTATCACAATGGTATTTTTATACATAAATAAGTGGAATGGAGTTGAGTTTTAATGTCATTTCTTCGGATTATTTACCATTTTCTCCTCTTGAACAGGCGGGTTACGCAAGAGGAAGCAGAGTGGAGCGTACAAGATGTTGATCACACCAATGAACACCATGAGACAGGGGAAACCCACTGCCTGGACCAGAGCGCCCCCTGTGGAAGGTCCTGAAACAGCAGAAAGAATAAATCTTTCTGACAAAAGTTTCTTGAATGTTTTCCACCACATATTCCTGCTGGATGGCGTTACCTATAGCAAAGCCCATACAGAGCGCCACGTCAGCGATGGCGTACACACTGCCGTACACAGAGGCATGGCGGATGTCGACCAGGTAAGCCATTATGGCCATCATTGAGGAGTCCACCATCCCTGAAGAAGCAAAACACAGAGTTCACCAAACCTTCACACAGAAGATATTTAGGTATGTCAGAAGCTTTGGGAATGGAAGTCACCAATAGCGAAGCCCAGACCGCCATTTGGACCAATCAGACCGTAGATGCTGGTGGCAAAAGGAACCTAAAACATGGATGGATGGATGGATGGATGGATGGATGGATGGATGGATGGATGGATGGATGGATGGATGGA